CTTTCTCGATGGTTGGGATATTAAAAGAAGCCCCTTTCTACAAACCTTTCTATAATATATATAAGGGAAGCTCTTCGAGCTTTGCATGCTTGAGCTTTCCCCTTTTTATTAGTAAGGTTGTCAAAAGGTAGGTTTCTTACTTAGTGCTTGTGCTAAGGAGATTCTTTCTCAAAGTAAACTTTCTCGCTTCTTGCTTTAGAGAGATTGCAGGGGCGCGTAAGCGCCCTTCCTTCAGCCGGCTCCGCCCTATCTATTCATCTCTTTTATCAAATGGATCTTTAGGGATCTCTCTTGTTCATAGATCTTGAAACCAGATCAATAATATCCATTTCTCAATATATCTTTCTGGATCTATCTCCATATCTAAGAAAGAACCAACACTTAAAGGGCGTAACCAACGGAAGGTTCTCACCCCCTGTCCCCGACATAGTTCTCCGACGATGCCCCCTGGGCGAAAGGGGCCACCATTCTCTTTCTTCAATCGTTCCGATCAGGACAAGTGGGTTGGTTTCGTCCTTCTATCTACGCAATTCTCTGTCTTCGTTCGTGATCATGTTGGGCGAAAGGTAGTTAGTTGTAGAGGAGCGGCTATGAAACGGCGATTCCCCCCTTTCCATTGAAGTAGGGGGGCCTCCTTCCCCACCATTCCGGCCTATTATTGATAGGGATTTTACCGATGCTGAAGGTAGCTTGCTTACCAAGCCACCCACTTGATAAGCTAGTCACCAGAAAGAAGCGGCGAGGACGTGAAGCTTCCCTCCCCCCTGTAGTCGAAGTACTCGGCGCTACTTTGATTCAAAAGGTAACCGACGGTTCCCGACTTTCTCCGGTTTCCGCAACCGTAATCATTTGTCACTCCATCCATAAACCTTTTTTTCAATAGCGGTACGCTCTAAAAAAAGTCAGGGATAAGCTTGCATTCTAGAAGCGGTAGCTTCCCGCCTCCTTAATTTCTACTGCCTCCTTCGGTGATAAATATTCCCTTCCCTTTTCTAAAATGCCCGATTGGTCTGCCTCAGCAAATGTACAAAGTGGACCGCTGTTTGGCTGACCCTCTTCTTCCTATTCGGGTTGGGTTGACCCAGAAGTCGAGTAAGAAGGAATGGAACCACTGGAGAGTCGTCCGCAGTTCACACTTGGGCAAAGACGACTGACTTTGTTTGGAAGCAGAACACGAACCGATTTCCGCTATTTCGGGTTCTTATTGAGCATAGCAAAATCAAGGTTGTTTATTATAAAGTCAGCGAAGTTTTTATGGTGTTCTACCTTTGCGTAGTATCGGTCCACAGTGGAAGGCTCCGTACCGACGCCTCACTACTACTTAATTAATGGCTAAGCTATTTCATAACCTGAGCTTTCCTTAACTAGCTGACCTTACTTCGTAACCTTAACGTACTTTCTTTCTTACTATATCATAGGCCTTCTCCACTTCAAATGGGCGCTTCGCCCTTTCTTTTTTTATGAGAAAAAAAACGGGGCCTTACTTATTCAGTTCAGGAAGGATGAAAGACAAAGAAAGGGATCAGGGGGCTTATTGATCGGAGAAAGGGAAGGGACTTTTTGGACCTAACTGAGAAGGAGACAGAAAGGGATCACCTGACCTTATCTTGAGTGAGAGAGGCAAGTCGCAAGGCAAAAAGATTAGTCGTTTTCAAGTCTGAGGGTGTGGGATTTCTATGTCATTCAGTGCCTAAAGTCAGTAAGTCAAAGAGTACGAATACCTGCTCTAGTACTAATACCAGTACCAGCAGCATGGCATTCAGTAAACAAACAACTCTCCCAAAATAGACTAGCAGCGACAAGATAGTCAGTCTCTTCCCCCTGCTTCATTCATAAGTCAGATCGCTTTCTCCGCTCCGGGATTTTCCCTTAAATCAGTTAACTGGGTATGAGAAGGCCTCCCCTCTAGTCTATAGTAGCCCTTCTTCCTCCAACCCTGAGTTCCAGTGAGACCAGCCGAGCCAAGCGAGTCCAATAACAGCATCGTCAATAGCAGAGGATATCCCTCCAACAGCTTAATTTTAGGATGGCACTTGCACTTGGGTTGGGAGCTTTCCCTTCTCTATAGCTAATTCCTCGTTGGTCGATCGCCTTTCACCTGGTATGAATTCAATTGATTGGGCATTTCTCTTGGAGCGATGATTCTTGGCCACTTCCTATTAAGATAAGGTTTCCCATCCGAAGTCTTTGCTGTTGTTAAAGAACTTGTTTCGCAACGCCCCTCTTCCTGAGGCCTTAGCTTCGTGATTAGGAAGCTGATTTGTGAAAATCCTCATATCCTTCCTTTCTTCCGGATGAACGAATCAGACTGAACCACTGTAGAATTTTCAGCTGCTGGCAAGGAGCTACTCTTTCCCTCCACTCCGGGCTGGCAAGCTTATATCTCTCGATAGCTGCATCGGATCTTTCCTGAAAGCTGGGCAAGGTGCGAAGCGAACTCATATCGTCGTCCAGGGTGCGTAAACCTTCTGATCCTACTTTGTCGTTTAGATTATGCCAAACAAAAAGACGGGGAAAATGATCAACTGTCACATTTTTATGCCAGTTTAGGTAGGGCTAAAATGAACTTTAATCCAAAAAGACCGAGAAAACGCTCAACTGGCAGGATTGAACTGTCACTAAAGAGGGAAAAGTGATTGCTTCCAATTTTCCCGATAAAATGGCACATTCACATTAAAGATAATCGGCTGGCTGTAGGCTTGAAGGAAGAGAAGAATTCAAGGATAGCTTTGGTAACTTCCCCACAATGCTCCAGCTGGATTGAAAGAATTCTGCAGTAAAACCGTCAGGTCCTTGTGCCTGCCTTATTTGCCTTTAGAAAGATTATCTTCTTAACATCATCAGCCGTCATAAGAGCCACCAGTGCGGATCCTTGCTCATCAGTGATAAAATGGCTTAGCAATGATCTGATCTCTTCAGTGTCACCACCTCAACCATTGTTATCTGCAGTTCCAAGGAAATTCTTGAAATGCTGCAAGAATTCCTTTTTAATCAAAGCAGGTTCCTCAATCTCCTGTAGCAGAGGTGATAGATAGAAGTCTGCTCTTAGCAGCTTTGGCTTTGACAACTCTGTGAAAATAGCTAGTGTTTTGATCACCAACTTCAAGCCTGTTTACTCGGGATTTCTGTTTCATAAACTGCTCCTCAGGCAGGACACTTGCTTTCTTTCTTTTAATGGTTTACCCACAGACCAGAGGGTTAAGGCTCTCACCTTCTTTTCAAATCAAAGAAAGAAGAGCCCAAAACTTTCCCACCTTCCTCAGTTTTTAGTATTAATTTCTTTTATCCTTTTTATTTTAAGCGTACTTAACCTGAACCCTGTCTATGAGTAAAGCAATCTTTGGAATCTTTCCTAATACGCTTTCTCTTTTTCTTATGCCTTGGGAGCCCAGTCTTTAGGAGAAGCAGCTGCTCACTCGTGACTAAGGAATGAATTCTTGGTTATTTCAAACTATCCTCAATCTCTTTCCCCTATCGGAGTTGGAGATAGGTACACGCGTAATAAAAGAAAGCTTTGAAAGATCCATCGATCATGTTAAGTGCACATAGCCCCTCTCGGTTGGTCGCTTTTCGCCCTACCTCTTTCGCTAAGACCTTTGTCCTGTCCCTAGATATAGCACGTTTAGGAACCTATCCTAGAGATTGTGTGCCAAGAGTGGGACATTTCTCTGAATAGTAAAGGCGTAAAGGCTCAACTAGAGATCTTCTTTTGGTTCTTCCTTTTCTAACCTGAGAGACCCGCTACTCCGTTTTTTCCATTCGCTACTTTTTGTAATTGCTGAAATTGGTGGAAATGGATCCTATCTATTTAGCGTGATTCTTCTCTAAAGGAACCCTCGGGCGAAAAAAAAGAAGAATTCTTAAGGCAAAGTCTTAAGGCAAGCCGTTTAACCACTAGGGTGGCGATACATCCGTGTATTAATACCACCCCATAAATACAAGTACCAAAAGCATGCGTGTGGCTGGGCAAAAAGCAAGGCAAGCTAAGGCAAAATCAAGGCAAAACAAACAAAAACGCGTTTTCGGCACAACTCCTTCAATTCTCAACCAAATTGAGCAAAATTTTAGTCTAACTTGACTAACTTTTCGCAAGGAACACAAAGGTGCCACTCAAATTTTCAAAAGATGCTCCTATAGTAAAATCTGATGGTGTTGCACCCTAATTTTTGACCTTAAGATTCCACCTCTTTATGTGTTTTAATGCGTTTTTTTAACTTTTATGTACGACTAACGAGTGTGTGCATGTTTATTTCGCTTTAAGGATGTCTCCAGCGCATTTGTATGATTAGATCCCCTTAAATCAAGAATTTGGTCCCTTTCAAGCTATCTCCTTAGCAAGGAAGGTTTGTCAAGACAAAATTCATACAGGGATTGAAATCACAGGCTCATGGTGTTCGAGGCATCCCTAATACAAATAATTTGGATTCAAGATTTAAGGATCATTCATGTGGGCTATGGTGGCAAGCTTTACTTTGATTTCAGTTGGTACATTTCGTGTGGATTATTTTGGTTTTCAATGCCTTGGTTCCCCAACAACTTAGTTTTGGCTTCAACTTGGATGGATTGAAGTTGTTGAACTATTACATTGTGAGATTTAAATTCATTCCGAGTATTCAGGATGCACAGTTTAGCCTTAAGATTCAAAGTTTCTTGGAAAAGGTTCTTCTCAAAACAAGAGGCCATATCTCAATTTATGTCACTTAGATATTAATGCACTCTCTTGCTCAGTTGAGTTATAGCGAATGATTTAGAAGAGTTAATCTAGTTATCAATGCAGGTTCTAATCCATTCGAGATTATAATTTGCTCAAGCTCAGCATAGACCTCTTATTTGAATTTAGTCCTTTAAGACCTATTCGAGTTTTCTCTTAATTGAGGACTAAAGAAAATATTGGAATTTAAGCCTTAATTGAGAAAGTACGAGCTTTATTGTCATGATTACAATAAAAGGATATCAAGAATTTGCAAGTCGTTCGTTTGCATAACATTGTTATAACCAAGATTTCAAGCATAATATATCTGTATTGTATAGAAGGTGCAAGTTTTATTCCCACAAAAGATGATAACAGGGAGGGTGCCAAGGAGAAGGTCCGTTTCTAAGGGCCCACTTCACAAGCTATCACAAAATAAAAAGAAGATTGGTTTTAATAGTAAGAAAAGACAGGTAATTCCCCATGTAAGCTGCGGCAAAAATAGACGGAGAAAGATTTGCAAACAAGCTCTCCCAAGTTGCATCTCTAATACTTCACGGATAAATCCCAAAACAGTTGCTGTAAAAGTCTCCGCATGACCTGGCTGTAAAACAAGCAAGAGCATTGGTATCAATCAAATGCAATTAAAACTCATGACAAAATCAAATTAAAACTAAAGGGAAAAGATTGAAGACAAGCCCATATCCTTCCAAAACAAGTTCCAAAAAAAGACATTGAGGCGGGATAATCTGAAAAAAATCTCACCAACAACCTGTCCGAATAAGGAAGTGCCTGCATCTGAGACAGCTTCTGCTGAGGTAACATCTTTTGCTTCTGCAACAGATTGTCGCAATTGAAACTGAAAAGCGAGTACCAATCAAAACTGCGGTGTTGAGGTCTTGGTTCAATCTGCTGAAGAAAAATAGGAAAGTGAAGAAGCAAGATCCTGTAGCAGCATTTGATTCTTATGTTGTGGCTGCTGTTTGTGCTCTTGCATGTGAGCTTCAGTTGTTTCCTTTGATTTCACTACATGGCTTTTCTCTGAAGCCAGCTCAACCGCAACAACAAGGTTATGATCCCTCCATATTCGAAATGTCAGCTACTCGGTTCACATATTCCTAGGACCGACACAACAGCTCCCATTATTGAATCCAACTCGATAGCACCTGCACCAAAGACAGTAGAAAGCAATT